CCCCAAAACCCCAAAACCCCAAAACCCCTTTTTAGGATTCGAATAAAATCTTGCATTTTTAGAAGGAAAATTAACGAAAAAGTGCTGAAGGAGCTTATAGATGACCTCCATCAGTTTTAGCTTCAAACGTTATGCGTATTTACTCTCAACATTTATGAAAATTTTGAAATATTAGGAAAAATGCGGCAAATTGTTCATAAAAACACTAAATACGCATTTGGGAATGGAAAGTATTGATTTAGAATCTATTGAAGAAAACATAACGGAATGGTGGGCTCTGAATTGTCAGAAAATTGACCGTTTTTCACTCGAATTTTGTGAAATCATCAAAAATCTTGAGGAAGGTACATTTGTGCTTAATTTCAAGAAGAAGGCTTCACCATGGATGCTCAAGTACAATCACAGTTTTTGGTTAGAGGCTGACCAGGAACAAGGTCTTGCTAACCAAATTAATCAGCTCATCAGCCAACAGAAGACTAATCCTATTAATATTTTGCAACTTTACTTGAAAGTTTTGGACGACCTGACTTATCAACAAGACCTAAACAGCATCATTGGTGATGCAGACATGGAGCCAGATTGAGAAGGAGAAGACCAAGACGGATGGTCAGATGAAGAAGATGCAGCCATAGAAGTAAGAAATGATCAAGAAGAAAATGTCAAAGATCATATTTCTAAGTATAATGCCAGACTAGCCAGTAAGGAAGGTATCAAGTTGTTCAGACAATCGAAAATAACTAAAAGTGCTATTGAAATGCAGCAATTGATAGATAAGAACCTCTCTAAAGATGATTGCTATTTGTCTCTCCAGATATTTGAACCATTGATGATTATAAAAGTGACTATCGATCTTAACTTCCAACAATTATCACCCACAGTTTATGAGTCAATAGGATTCGAGATGCATGAGTTGGTAGAATATTTGCTTATTTTTGAGGATAACAAGCTGCTTATGTTCAGAGATGATCCAAGTTTACCAACTAAAGATCTTCAAGAGCTACTCAACCTAGGAATACTAAAGATTGAGTTTTGCCAACTAGAAAATAATTATTTGCAAGAGAGATACAAAGCATATCTTCAAATACTGCACGAGAGCTACTTTAACATGAAAGATGATGAAGTTATAACAGCCCCAGAAACTAAGCCAATACATATCTCAGAGAGTGACAAAATCAGAAAGGAGCTCTTACAAATAGGGTTCAGTTCTGCTCAAGCAAACTCTGTATCAAAAATAACCAACAACATTGATGAAGCTGTGAACTACTTACTTGATGAAAACCCATTGCCTGAAGAAACTAAGGAAGATCATAAAGAAGATATTATGGTTGAAGATGGTAGGATGGTTGAATGTGACGATCCTAAGTATAAATTGTTTTCCAGCATTACTACAGAAGACCTTAAGAAAAACCCTGTGCTGAGTTACTTCAAACATGTCTTGTTCTCACTAGATAGCATTCCTGACTACTGATGCATCTGCAGAGACAAACTTTCTACTAAGGCAAACACAATCAGGTGTTGTAACAAAGAACTTTGAGAGTTTTCTTTTGAAGAGTCACAAGGGGTTGCCATCATGCCTGAAATCAAGAAAGATCCTGAAGTTTTTGCTCTGAACTTGTCTATCTTCAGTGAATGTCTCATGAGTGAACGGGTCCACAAGATATTTGAGCCATTTCCTTCGTTCTTCTTGAAAGACAAAGAGCTGAGAACCAAGAGGGGATATCTCGATAATGTGATAAAAGCTAGAATAGAAGGAGGACAAGCACACGATGTAAATGAGATCAACAAAGATATTGACAAAATTAGAAGGCTGTTTAAGAGAGTTCCATCTATTCAAAAATGAATTTCCAAGTGCTCAGATGATGAAGTTTTACTCTCAATTTTAGAAAAAGAAGTTAAGAATACCGAAGATTCTATATTGATCTATAAACTTCTTCAGTATCTGACTACCACGAGCCGTGTCAGTGTGAAGAAACTGAAAGATAGCCATAAGTGAAGCGGCTCTTCTAAAATCGAGGAATATATTTTGTATAATAATGAAGTCCATGATGAAAATCTGTTTCAAAGCAGAAAATCTGAACTAGGATCTCTATGGTCCTTCCACGGTAGCCAGATTGAAAACTGGTATAGCATTCTCCGTAATGGGCCTAGAAATTTATCGGCCACCAAAATGATGAATAACGGTAAAACGCATGGAGAAGGAATATATTCAACAAAAGAAATTGATTTGGCTTTAGTATACAGCAATAAGCCCAAGAAAGATTCCTATTGTGTTTCAACTATTCCTCAAAGTTGGAAGCATAGCACCTGAAAAGAAAAAGTTATTATAGGAGTGTTTGAGATCATCAGCGAAAAGAATATTACAATAAAAACGGTCAGTAATCGTGATTATATTATTTGACCAAACGATGAATGTATCAAGCTTAGATATATCTGGATAATTGCCTCAAATTGCACAGAGATTCCAAATAAAAGGAGACTTTCTGAGCAACTAAATTTCTCAGTGAAATATTACTCAACTGTTAAGGATATTCAAGAAGAGCTCTTAAATAACAGAAAGCTCAGACTTAAAGCTTCCTACGAGAGAGCCAAAGCTAGATATCATGAAGAGATGGTCATGAGGGATAAACTCCAAGCCCAGCTTGATGAGCGTGACAAACTAGAACAAGATAAGCAGTATGACGATAAAATACAAAAGCTGGAGGCTAGTTTCACAGGAAAAGGCAGTGTCATTGCTACTAAGAGAATCCTCAAAGAGTACAAACACTTCCAGACTTCTACTGATATTGAGAACTTTGAGATCAAGTTCAAAGGCGACAACTTCTATCAGTGGAGTGTGGTGCTAGACATCCTCAAGTTCGAACTGACTCCTGAACTCAAAGAAGACTTCCAGTGGGTTAGAGATAAAAGTGGGATTAACCCGACACTGCAGTTTGAAGTGATCTTCCCAGCTTCGTTTCCTTTTGATCCTCCGTTCATCAGAGTAGTGCAGCCGATCTTTAAGTTCCGTACTGGCCACGTGACCATTGGTGGATCATTGTGCATGGAAAGCCTGACTCCATCAGCTTGGTCATCAGCAAGATCGATTGAAGGGATTTTCATAGAAATCTTGAGCATAATACTACAAGGTGAAGCCAGACTGGATAAGAAGAGACTAGGACGCAGTTACTCAATTCAAGAGGCAAAATTAGCATTTGAAAGAGTAGCAAAGCATCATGGATGGCTCTAAGAATGCTAAAAATTCATCATAATTAACATTTGTAATTTCAATATTTCCCTTATTTGAAGGGGTTTTGGGGTTTTGGGGTTTTGGGG